CGTGTTATGCTGTATTTCTGCTTTGCGTACGTTGTTGTTACATCAGATGTGCCGTGTGCCCTCAGTCAGAGCACGCAGACTGTCAGTGAAGGCACTTCCGGAGAAGGCCGTCATCGTACATGTTCTTAGAGGCAAATGCTTGAGAAAATACATGCGTTTTTAAGGGTATTGAACCCGCGAAAAGCCCTCTAAAAACCAAGGACAGAGGCCACCATACTACTTCGGTATGGGTTGACAAACGGCAGTTAAGTACCCATATAAAGCAGGATGGGTTTTACCCGAGACCTTTTTATATCCCATGCATCCTTGTGAACATAAATCATAATTTAGCCCCTTCTCCAGTGTCTTTAAATTAGTCCCCGTTTTTTTTCCGAATCACCCAAACGACTTGGCCATGGTCGCTGAACAGCTGATGCATGGCTATTGGGCAGCTGCCCTGCTTCTATTGGAACAAACCGGTGGTGTTTTTGTGCGCCTCAAATTGTCTTGACTGTAGCGAATCGTGCATCAAGTTCCTCGATCATGGCCGCGACCCCTGAACTTTTGGTAATAAAGGATCAGATACTGTTGTCCATTTTCTTTATGCAGAGCTCGTAAATATCCCTGGCTGTCGGGAGTAAATGGCCCCGTCTCCATCAGCACTGGTGAGGCTCTCTCAGGCCACGGCTCGCTTCTCCGTCCTCCCAGTGCCGTCACATGCCGTTTTTCCATGCCACTCAGCACGCGCTCTAAAATGTGTGCAAAGATGAGTTAGGTTAGCAGGCACTCAGGCGGGGGAGTCAATTTGTCCCCTCCTGAGGTTGTTTCCAGAATAATTTCGGACCGGTGCGGCATGGTCACGTCAAACTTCGTTCATCTGCCAGCAATTGAATAACCGATCTTTCTACATTGGAATTAGACGCATCTCGTATGGTCACTGACCTGCAAGCAGGTCAAGTCAGGTTAGGCCACTGATAAGTCATAATCAGAGAACTCAGGCCATTGGCGTCAGTGAAGGCAATTCTTAGGGAATCGTTCAACATGACGTGTCAATGGAATGTGGGCAGTCATACAACTTTTGGATGGTTGCTTAGATGACACATTTGTGATAACAATTAGGTTTCATTCCATTGACCTTGGGCCAAACGTGAAGGTCAGATAAAGGTCAAAATAAAACAATTTTTACCGGACAACTTGCCTTAAGGAGTGTTACAGTCTCATTTTGAGTTTTTGGATCGCAAGGACGTCACAAAATTACCTATTTTGACTTCGTGAAAGTACGGGAAGATCAATGGCCTAAAATAACCCTGACCAACGTGTCGCTTTGAGGAGTGTGGCGCGTAGGGTAGCACTTAACATCTATTATACATTCAGATATCAAAATAATTCCGATGGTTTTGGGGCGTTTATACCTCTGAAATGTCAACTAAGGCCACTGACATGATACGAATACCAGCGACATTTTCTGATATGAGGTATCTAAGTTAAAATGGTTACGTGAGGAGGTCTGCGGACACTGCAGGTCTGAGGGAGGTCTAAGGGCACTCATGTGGGATACTAGTGTTTAATGGTACGGTTGAATATTTTTGCAAGGACCACAGCGGACGGTACGCAATATAACTATTCCACGTCATCAATCATTATTATCCAACATTGTTATTGCAAAAGTGCATCTCGACACTCGGAATTTTTATTAGAATCGTCTTCTTGGGAACACTGCTGACAGGCAGAACAGCTCGAGCCATACGACAATGCTCAAATTACATGCAAGTGCGCCATAGTGAGAAAGGGAGGTGGCGGAATCGTGACAGTACTGTTCTGTGTATTGGCATGTGCCTTGTGCATCATTTGTCTTGCAAATATGTTCTTGTGTAGAAGCGTGCGAAAGGTGAAAGCCATTCAACCATTCTTGTGGGTGCCATGCGGCCTTGAACGCCATCATATTTCGATGATTCTTAGTGTCACCTGTGACGTCGCTCAATTAAGTGAATGACGTCAACTTAATGCGTTTTTATTGAAACCGATCACGGCCAACCATAGTGCTCCGCGCTTATAGGGGGGGGGGGGGGGGGGATAGCAGTATCCATGGTGCTACAAATGTTCCAAAGGAGGAATACTTTTGATACCCAGGCGATCGTGACTGGGGTGCAGAAAGACCCTAGATGCCATTGGGGTTTTGACATTGCGCGGTGTTCATCCAGATTCCAATAAAGCCGTTCAGTGACGTCCGGCGACTCAAAAACCTGGCTTAACAGCAATTCCACAGCAGTCTCGAGATAGGCTGCAATACAGACTACCGCATACCAAACCTGGCGGTCCGGGGGCAAGACTCAAACCGCTATTAACGTATCAGGCGATTCACGTGACAATTGTAAAATGTATCCCTTCCGTTTCACAGCGCATGGCCTTCTGCACACCTGAACACACGTGTGTCCAGGTGTGCGGAAAGCATCTGTGTGGCAGTACGACCTTATGCTGTTGTCTCAGCCGCATCAGTTCTGCCCCGTGTTGTTACGCCCTCGGCTGCCGAGCGCGCTGCCGCGTGCCTGCGGAATATTTTTGCTGCGCGAAGGACCCTCAGCAGAAATACGCGACTGCGCCGCCTAGTCATAGCCAGCGGCAGGCTGACGAACGAGCTGGGTTTTCTCGACGAAATCTGAAAAATTGCGATGGGTCACGTCTCGGGCTATGACAATTTTTACGTTTACCCCTCACTCGGTCTGGGTGACAGCGTGTTGCTTTCAAGATCGATTTGGAAAAACGTGACATTGGTCGCTTTACGCTCGATTGCTGATGTCCCTTCCAGATCAGCAAGTGTTGGGTAGCGTGGGCGGTTCGCAGACGGCGCATGCGCCTATCACCGTCGGGATTTGCGACGCACTCAGCTGCTGAGACCAGATGGTGTCGCTTGCCCTTACCCTGGCAGAAAGGGTAAGGGGCAGGCGATTGGGAAAAACGTGACACTGGTCGCTTTACGATCGATTGCTGACGTCCCTTACAGATCAGCAGATATTTCCATGGGGAAACGAACCCCGTACCTCCGGTTTCTCAGACTTGCAGCTTAACCACTACACCATTAGTACCTTCATACCTTATGTACCCCTAGTAGAATAGACTGCACCACCGGTACTCTAAATAAACACCCGTGCCAACATTTTATTCAAACGAGGTCATTAAGCTCTTCGCCATTTTACCGTTCACTAATTCGACGTGAAAGCTTTTATACATGCTGTCATGTTGCAGTTCGCAATTTAGCCGTTCGCCATTTTAGATGTCATTTTTCCATGCCTTCATTTTGAAGTTTGCCATATAGTCGATTCGGATGTATGACGCGAGGCTTTTTAAAATTTTGTAAATGTGCAGGTCGTTATTTAGCAGCCCACATCAAGGTGCTCGACAAACTGCGGGCCAACTTTTTGCCCGGACACGTCGGCAGAAATAATATTTTCTGCTCAGATCATTATTTGACAGGGCAGAGCTAACGGTGGCCGGCATGCATTTGTAGTGATTGATGGATACAGTGGCCCGAAAAATACTGGCGACCAAAGTCAAAGGTTGCGAATGTATGCATTTGATGACACTGGTAAAGGGCCGTCAGCTGAGAGTACAATACACCGGTGGTATTTTGGTTTCTATTTTACTCGGTTGACGCCCGACTGTCCGACAGTGTACCACCTCAAACTTTGCAAGAGGACCACTGACTGTTATTTCAGGTCACGACCCTACGGGACACGATTATTTACTTGACCTACAGCCAGTCCTCCGGGCCCTTATGCCCCCAACTGGGCCTTTGATCGTCAGTTCTGGTTGGCCGCGCGGTTCCTACTTCGGGCCTCATCGAGCACTTCCCTTGGCCAGCCCGGGGCCCTTGTGAGCACAGGGCCCTCTGTTAGGCGCTGTGGACTCCTGACAGAAACAGGGCCCTGACAAATATAAATCACTGGCCCTGGCTTTGGCGCTGCTTGGAAAGTGAGGCCCCATGCCCATACCAGCACAGAGGCGACTGCGCGGCACTGGTGGTGCCTGACCGACATATAGACCCATATCGACTCAGGGGTCCCCGATCGGCGCTAAGGACTCTCTGAATTTTATTTCAAGGCCAGTCTCCCCGAGCCGGGCCCAGGCCCCCAAAGAAGACTCCGAGCGGCCCCTCGTGCCCTTAGACCCTCCAATCAGGCCCTTGATCGTCGGACCCGGTGGGCTCTCTAAGCTTTTCGGACCTCCACGAGCACTACCTCTGGCCGACTCGAGGCCCCTTGCCAACACAGGACCCCTTTTAGTGGCTGGGGGGCCCTGACAGACGCTGGGCCCCGACTTATGCAAATCGCTGGTTTTGGCTTCGTTCCTGTCAGGGAAATGGGCCCTCAGACCCGCGCCGCCTCGGAGGCGACTTTGCGTTACTGGTGGTGTCTGACAAACATATAGGTCCTTATCGACTCAGGGGGCACCTGATCAGCGCACAGGGCCATCTGACCGGCATTTGAGTGCCCAGCTCTGCGGGCCGGGGCCCCTGAGTGCGACCACCGGCGTGCCTTTCGGGCCAGTCAGGCCCTCAAATCGGGCCGTTAATCGTTTGTTCCAAAGGGCCCGAAGGACCCCTCGAAAACTAAGGGAGAAGGGGCACATGCCCCCCCCCTTGCTTGCGCTACTGCTGCAGTCAACATGTCAACATCTCATATTCGGCGCCGCGGGCTACGCTTCGCCCGTGCGTTAGTAGTCAGCATAATCACACTATTTCCGCCACAGACGTTCAAGAATTTGTATGGTAATACTAGACCACGAAATGTACCAGAAATACTACGGGTCCGGTATGAGATGGAGAGAGCTTCTTCCACCACAAAAGCAAGTAAAAATAGTCAGAATAGGAGAAAAAAAACAGGTTTAATTTTCCATGTGAATGACTACCACAAATTGACACAAAACTGGCTAAAGTAACCCTCAACGTGTTATTTAGTACAAATAAGTCTTTTTAGCACGGTAGAAATAACCACTCAAAATTGGTTGTTTTGGACCAGCAAACGCGCACCGGCAGTGGGTTAGCGTCAGGGTGTAGGTCGCGCTGCTCGTTTGAATTGCGTGATCGTATGTTCAACGGAACAATCACATTCCTGTGAAGTATGCCTATCTATAGGTATCTTTGATACATACCGTCAATGTAAATATAAGTTATAATCGCCATCAAAGAAAAATAATCTTCACTTGCCCGCATCCACAGTGACCGCCCAAAGCTCAGGTAAGCTGTGATATTATTTTCACACAGCGTGGTGCCAAGTGCTGTTCCTGAAGTGTATGCAGTTGAGACTTCAAAGCCTCAGGCGATGTGTACTTCCAAATCCCACACCTTTGTACCAGGGCCGAGATGCAGCACTGTGGCTGCTCAAAACATTTTCAATCACAATATATGGATATATAGTATATATATATATATATATATATATATATATATATATATATATATATATATGTATATATATATATATATATCTACATATGTGATGCTTTATCTACCACCCAAAATTTTATTGTACCCCTTACTGGTCTTTAAATGTGGTCAAGAGAAAACACGGATAGAGAACCCACATGTCTGAATGGTGTGCATTTAAGACTCCTTAATACACTAATAAACAACATCTATAACACCTTATCTGGGCCTGGGGTGATTAGATATGTGTTGAATACCATGCTTTAAGAGCTTTTCTGTTATTCCGGTACATTTTTTGAAGATTTAAAGATGAGTTTATATCTGTTTTTAATAATTTTGTCATAGTTTGTGATGGCTAATCATGATTATCTTTACTATTATGTTTTCATGCCCAGTAGCACTGGATAACTGGCTAGAGACCTAGGTAAATGCTCATTTAGGTTTGAGCATGTAAAATGGGCAACTCCATGCTTATATGATTATGTGGTGAATGTGTTTTAGTTGTGCAAGCAGTGCAAAGGCCATAAGATTTTCAGCTGTATTGCCAACATCAAGGCCAGGCTGCAAAAATGCAAATTGAATCAAATTCTGGATACAGTATTATTGTGACAGCAATTTAAGCTCACAGCTGACAATTTGAAATGAAAAATATGATCGGTCCTTGGATTTTATAGGCAGCAGACAATCTTTTACTCATTTTTAGTGAAAGAAGTAGGAATGTTGGATGTCTATAGGTCTGTACCATATAACATCATCTGTTTTCTGGCTGAGATTGGACAAACTCAATCAGGATCAACAATATCATACTTGCTGTTCAGATAGGACAATAACACACTTATTCCTGATCTTGCAGAAGTTCTATATCTTATGTTGTACACCATTCATTTTAACACACTGAAATCATCTGTAAATCTGTCTCAGGCCACTGTGGCTTCTTATGTTACCATTTTAATTTTAGCCATATGGCTTGTTCACACAATATTGCTAGAAATGATGATTATGCCCAGGTGATTGGCTCATGAGTTAGCTCATGAAATTTTCAATGTCCCAGGTCACAGCTGTAATTGTCTAGAGGAACTTTATGTCCAAATCATTTGGGAAAATCAGATTTACTTTTTGAAGGCATGTATGATAAAGCTTTCCATGGTTAATGAAGTCATGATGTCCTGTCATCTTTGACTCTCAGTCATGTAATTTTATTATGAGTCACTTTTGAGGTGATAATAATAGTAGTACCATGACATTGTTCAGCTAGAGCAGCCAAAACAGCATAAATTGTAACCTATGCATTCTGAAAGCTTTCACCATGTACATGGCTGCATCTTGGCCACATACACGTCCCTGAAACCCGCGGCATGATCAGCAGCAAAAACAATCTGAACGGAATCATGCACAAGGATACAGCATTGTCAGACATTGACTGCGGAATAACCTGACATTCACCGCAACTCCGCCGCCGCCACGTCCTGCATGTGACGAGCACCAGTCCGGGAGCATCCTGAGCGTCTCCTCGTCCTCTGACGGCTCCTCCCAGATCCTCGTTGCCGACCGTGCGCACCGCCGCCGAACGGACACCCACTCTTCCCTCGGCGTTTTCGACGCCGCCCGCACTGAAGCCTGGCCTCCGCCCTCTCTTTGTAGAGATGTCGCAGCACGGCGCCGCGCTGCAGACGTTCAACATCGAGCTGGTGAAGACGGTGGAGGAGCTGAAGCGGCGCCAGCTGGTGCTGGCCGAGGAGACGGCGCGCGAGGAGTGTCAGCGTCAGCAGCTGGAGCAGCAGGCGGCGCAGTTACAGGAGCAGCTGGAACGCGTTACGGCCAGCCTTCGCCACAAACAGGAGCTCAGTAGGGAGTACGCGCGCATCATTAAGGAGGCCGAGAACGCCTACCAGAAGATCCTGGAGAGCTCTCAGGCGCTGCTGTCCGTAGTCAAGCGCGAGACATCGCACCTCAGCGAGGTGGCCAAGGCGGAAAAGAAGGCCGCACGAGGTGTGGACGCCACGGGCGACGGCAAAAACAAACACTAGCAAGCCCCGACCGGACAGAAGTGTGGAGCGTTACCTCACGTGCAATGATTTAATCACATTTTACTTCATGTGCCAGTGATGTGATTTTATACGTAATGTTGCATTGACATTTCGGGTCCAATCTGTCTGCACTTTTATATTGTTTTGGAAACTGTGCTATGCATTCGCCTCATTTTGTAAATAAAATCACTTTTACAATCGTCTTTCGGAAGCAGAAGAGTGTTTACTTGCTTCCGGCAGCTTCCTAGCGCTACCTGCCGGCCGCAAATTTCTGCTGTACGAGGTACAATTTCGGGCGTGCAAACCAGCAGTCCGTGTCTGTGCGGGTTTGGGCCGTTTGGGCCGTTTCCGGCCGGCACGGCTGATCAGCCATCGATCAGCGCGGCCGGCCCGGGCGGGCCCGGCCGGGCGCCGGTCCCGTTACTCTGCCGCTCTTTCCGCGGCGCCGGTGAACGGGGCAAGTCAACGTACCGGCGCGGAGCGGCGCGGAGCGCGGCTGCGGCGCCGTCAGGTTTGAGTTGCGGTTGTGGGGTGAGGTGCGCGCTGGACTCGCCCGGAGCACTGCGAGCTGGGACTTCTCCGCCAGGTGAGCAGGCCGACCGGACAGCGCGCGCTGCGCCAGCTCCGGATGCCGTGCTGTGCCGCTGGGCGGCGGCCGGCGGGTCCGCCGCAGCCCGGCCGGGACACCCCTTCTCCCGCCGCGCCGTCGCTGCCGTCGCGTTGCGGCGCGGTGTGGCGTCGGCCGGTGCAGCGGGCCGCCGCAGCTGGCCGTCCGCCGCGGAACCGGACCGGTGGCCGGTGGAAGCGCGACGGCCGGCAGCGCTCGCAGACGCGGCCGGCGCGCTGCGGCCGCCACCCGACCTCCAGCCGTCGTCGCGCCCCGGGAACGGTGGCGGGACCGCTCGGCGGCGGCGGCGGCCGGTCCCGGGACTCCTCCCACCCGCGCCGCGCGCTAAGCCGTGGTGTATCCCCGCTCGTGTCACCCATGAGGGAACTGGCAACGGCCACCTGTTGACGTGACAGGATGAGCGATGTCCGTACCGGTTTGGTGCGGCCGCGCGGCATCGGCTCGGGCCCGTGACGGGGCGGGGACTGCTGCCGGTCCCGTGACTTCAGCAGATTGTGCCCGTCTCGTGGTTGCGGCCGCTCGAAGGGGGAGGGGCGCGCAGCCTTGACCGGCGGGGCATGCATGCTCCCATCACTCGGAGGGCGCTGAAGACGTGACGACGGTGCCGTAGCGGCTCGTTCTGGCATCGCTGGCACGTTTATACATAACTGTATTGTGTGGCAACCCTTGGAGCGCCGCGGAGAAGTGACCCCGTAGCATGGTTCCGTTCGTTGTGCGAAAAATGGCGTGCGTGTCGATGTAGGTGTTGATTGAATCGCACGATCCTGCAAGGGTCATTGAGTACGGCGGCGTTTCCTCTTGCGTTCCCAATCGCAAGATGTTACGATATATGGTCGTTTCGAGCTGACGTGAGCTGACAGGTCATCGATCGTCAGCCGGCCGGCACGGCTTTGGTCGTCGGTGAGTCGAGCCGTGACGGAGTCCGGCGTGCGGGCTGGCCGGCCGTCACCTGCCGCCGGCGCCGGCGGGGCCGTCGCTCCCGGCCACCCCGCCGTCAGGCCGGCATCTCGGGGCCCGGCCGACGACGCTGGCGACGGCGGCCACAGCTCGGCCCGCTGGCGCCGCTGGCCGCTGGCGCGGTCGCCTCGCCGCGCTGTGGCCGCCAGCGGTCGGCGCCTCGCCTTATACGGATCAGCCGTGCGCGTCTGCACGCGGCGACCTCGGGCCGCGGGCGCAGCCGACCGACGCGTGTACACTGTACAGCCGGCAGGGCTCGCCGGCCGCTCCTCCATTCAGACTGGGCGGGCTTTACTCGCCCGCCGCTGCGTTTGCGTGGTTGGCGCCCCAGTCAGGCGCCGATGGTGTCGCAGTAAACCACGTCACACCCTAACGACTGCGCTCCAAAGCGTACGAACTGGGTGACGTACTTAACCGTGACGTCATGCGCAGCAACGTGGGACGGGCATTTGGCAGTGAAGAACGGATCTCGGGTCTCAGCACTAATGCGTGCAATCCTGCCCCCTCTGGGGCCCACCGTTTCCACCCCGGCCAGCCGAGCGCGGAGATGAGCGATCTCACCGAGCGGCGCCCTCCTGGTGGACGGGGTTCTTCCCCGGCCGGCCGAACGCGGAGGTCTGCAATCTCAACGAGCGGCGCCCTTCTGGTGGACGCAGTGGCGGGGTAGGCCATATCGCGACTCAGCGGCTGTCCGGCGGCTCTGTCCGGCGGCAAGAGCGGCGCTCCGCACCAGCCTGCAGCACGAGTGGCGCTGAGCGGTGCGGGAGCCAGCCCGGCCAATGACGCTCGCGCCGATTCGGCTATTGTTGGCGGACACACTGGCGACCACACTTCCGGCGGCCCTGTGATTCGGATGGATTGCTGGCGTGTGAAAATGTATGGAAAATGATGCTGTGCTTTTGATTAAACCTAATTGGTTCAGCCAGAAGCCGTTGGCAGTTGCTGAGTTAAGAACGCTGCGATTCGTCTTGAACTGGAAGTTAATGAAAGCAATGAGAGCTGTGGTGCAAGCTTGCTGTTACAACTGGAGTGCTATCTGATCTAGAACGTGATAAATATTGTAAAAGCCATGCTTCGTAATCCGAGTCTTGGACAGTTTCCATTGAGAGCGCTGGCTGTTGCTGAGATGGACGACCGCGTGCTGCGCCTGCCTTCACGTCGTATACAATGGTCATCTGCGGAAATTGCAGTATCTGCAGTTTTTATCTCGGAAAACGGGTTTGTGGTTTCATTGCGATTAAGCTTGTCGGCGACCTGGCTTTGCAGGAAGCAAAAATTACTTGATACTGTGTACGGCGGCGGCGGCGTGTGAATGACGCCGCTGGTTTCCTAATTGCCGGAATGTCTAAGCCAATGGTCTGCGTCGCCTGTCGCGGGTCCTGTGACCTGAATTGTCATTTGCTTTCCAAACGCTGCGGGTGCCGTGCTGTATTCCAGTCCGCGCAGTGCGCGGTCAGCTTCCGACCGGCGTGGCTGGAGGGCTGGGCGGCGAGGGGCGTTCTTTCGTCACGGTTTCCGCGCCGCCCAGGCGTCGGCTCCGCGCTCTGCCGCACGCTGCGGCGGCCGGCCGCCGAGCGGCGCTAGCACCGCCCCATGAATGAGCGGCGTCGCCGGCGGGCCGGTGGCAAGTCAGCTCCGCGCGGCCGGCAGGTGTCGGCGGCCGGCCAGCCTGCAGCCGGGGAGGCGGCCGACCGGCGGCCCAGCTGCGCCGGTCCAGAGACGCCGTGTAAACAACGTTTCTCCGGTCATCGGCTGCCTGTTGGGCTGGCTGTGGAAACAAGCGTGTCGCCCATTGGCGGAAGTGCAGATTTAATGCACTTTTGATATTCTCCCCGGCATGAAATTAGGCTACGATAAAGCCGCGTGGAGAGCTGCCAAGAGTGGAATGAAACATGTCCCCATCACACGGAGGCAGTGTCTTATCTTCTGTCCGGCGTGCCAACGGTGAAGACGGCGTCATAGCCAAAGACATAACAAAGCCAGAACGTGAGATAGATACGCCACTCACTTTTTGCTTAAATTCTTCGGCGATTACAGGCTGTACTAAAATCTGTCGATTTAGAACGAGGGGTGTGAACTATGCCGCCTTCTTGTGTGCATGTGTGTGGGGGTGAGGACGTGCTGACGATTGTCCATGTGAAGGCCGCGCCCCAAGACGCCGGCATCACCCGCCCTGTCAGTCGGACAAACCAGCGCCTGTCTAGTTACCCGTCCAGCTCGGCCAGCGCGGGGCGTTGCGACCTTGACCAGTATCCCGCAGCGGTCTCAGTGCGTCGACCCCGATCGTCGGCCCCGGGCCGGCGTCACCGGCCGGGGCCGCGGACCTGCGCTGGAGCGGCCGACAGCGCCGCCTGGCCGTCGCAGGCCCGCCGGCGAGCCTCCGGAGCCGCGCGCCATGCGCCGTCGCTGCTCGCGGCGAAAGCGGTTCAGCCGGGGCCGGCGCCCGTGCCTAGCCGGCGAGGGCGGCACCCGGCGTCGCGGGGCTCGGTCCCGGTCCCAGTCAGTGGGACGCAGGCGCAGTCGGGCCCGCGGCAGCTTCAGACGGACAGTCGGGGAGTTGATGACGATGTGAGCTGGCGGTCAACGGTCGGCGGCGCCGCAGCTCGCCGTCGGCGCCCGGCCGCCTCTGTCGCGCCGGCTCCGAGTCGGCCAGGCTCAGAGAGAGTTGCAGCCGGGCTCGACGGCCGCTGAGAACTGCCCGACGACGGGGCGGCCGGCGGCCTCCTGACCCGAGCGCGTCGCTGCTGCGACGGCGGACACCTCCAGTCCAGCAGCCGTCGGAGCTGGCGCGCCCAGTCTCGGCACAGTGTGAAGACTGTGAGCCCGGCCGTGCTCTGGGAGAAGACCCGTGGCCGGTTCGGCGAGGCTTTACGTAAGCCGAATGACTCCGCGATCCGCATCTGGTTTTGTTTGGTCGGCCGACTGATTCGCCTTGTCGCTGCCGTTACCAGAGCGACGGTCAGATCTGATCCTGCGCCGACGTGTGCCGGGCTTCTCCCCCTCCATGTTCGGCCCGGCGGCTGTCAGGCCTGGCCGGGCCGGCGCCGGCCGCGTCATATATAGATGTATTTGGCCACGCCGCCTCTCTATTAGGCCAGCGGCGGCCACTCGGCGCTGTGTGCGCAGCGCTGACAGAGCGCGGTCAACAGAAGCGGCGCCGAGACGTGCTGGCCGTCGCGCCGGTGCGTCTATCTACGCTGTGCAAGCGGCCAGATTGAGCCGGCCTGTTTGCTGGACCATCGGCTCCGGCCAGCTGATGGATGGCCGCGGCCGGCCATATGGCGGCCCGACGGCCGGCCGCCGGCGCCGACCCAACCGACAGCTGGGGCGGCCCGCACCGCTGGGCCAGCTGGGCACGCGGGCCTCCGCAGCGGCCGAGCGGCGGGACGCACCGGCCGCGGACGGGCTGCGCTGTCTGCTGGCCGGATCAGGCCTGAAATTACCTAACCTGACCTGACCTGACGTGACCCAACATCGAGCGGCGCTGTCCGCCGTCCGGATCGGACCTGATCTGACCTGATACGACATCGAGCGGCGCTGCCGGCTGGCCGGATCAGACCTGACATGACCTGGCCCGACATCGAGAGCTCGGCCGGCCGGCTCAGACCTGACATGACCTGACCCGACATCGAGAGCTCGGCCGGCCGGATCAGACCTGACCTGACATGGCATGACCTGACATGACCCGACACTGAAGCTGTATGCCTGTGCAGTCGATGCGCCCTGAAGCTGTCGGCTGGTCGCACCAGACCTGACCTGACCTGACCTGACCTGATTTGATTGCGAACCGCGCCGTCGACTCACGGCCGGGATGGTCAGCCGTCTGCTGTTGCCTGCTTGGGCTAGGAGGTCGGCATGATGCAACTACGGGCGCAACATGACGCAAAAGCTGTGATGCAAACGAGCCCACACTCTGCTGGCTGTCGCAGTTGGCACGTGGAGTTGTGCTGCGACCGTGCCATGACCAGGCTGGGCCCGCGGCGTCTGGGCACGGTCTGCAG